CCAATAAGTAAAGCATTTTTAAAATATTGATTAGTAGCAACCAATAGTGCTTGATTCTTGAGTTCAGAATCAAGGAAGTCACTTTTCAGCTTTTTTTATGTGCCTCTAAATTCCAAATACAGTGAAACAAACCTACGCCTGTCTGTACTTTCAATCTTGACATGCATGTATAAGATTAGTAATGGTAAAAGTATGCCAACTGAAACTGTCTGCTTGATTCATCATACCTGTCCGTGCTTATTTTTATAGTAGACATTTCCAAAGAGCACAGTGAAGTCTAATACTTTTAAAAGAACAGGACTATCACACTCGTGAAATTACAGATCATCACACTTAGATCTGTACAAATCCATGCTGGCACCACATATTTCAAGAAATGTTTTAAATGGATTATTCTGTTACTGGAAACAAATGTGCAGGTGAATGACCAATTCACTACTAAAAATGTCTTTCTAAATCTAAGTGTCACATTTCATTTTACCAAAAAAGAGTTTTTGACTTGACTGTCCAGAAGAAATGCAGAAGTCATTCAAGCTGACAGTAATATTTTTTTAGTAACACAAAACATTTAACACGTATGGAAAGCATACTTAGCAAAAGAAGAAACGGGTAGAAATCACAAGAGGACTGTTCAAAGATTATCACAATAACAGGGCAAGAAGCACTAGAAATCATTCTGTACCATACCTGAAATTTAATGCACTTATTTTGAACCTGCAGTCCCTTTAAAAATGCGCACAGAGAGACAAAGAACTATGCCTCCTTGGACATAATGTGCAAGAAAGGCTATTGACGTTTCAGAACCTGAAAACTTCCTCCTCCCCACAGCATTGTCATGGCATATTCACTGGGTTTTCCCCACTGTTGCAACATTTCATGAAGTATCTGGGTTTGCGTTTTTCTCATGCCAGTATAGAATCACTTAGGACTGAGGAAGAACTATTACCAAGCTGTGAGGCCCAACTCAACTTCCCTAAAGACTGCCCCCGCTTGAACTGCTGGCAAGCCAGAGAACAGGTAGAAAGGGGGCAACTATATGAGATTATAACTTCCCTTTCTCTCAACCTACTGTAATAATGATCAAATCCTAAAGAGTAAGAAAAAAAACAAAACCAAGATCTAGCCAACTAGAAGGGGCAGGAGTGTTGCTGCCTAAACCTTCTCTCTCTCTCTCCCTCTCTCCCTCTCTCTCTCTCACACACACACACACACACACACACACACACACACACAAACACCCTCTCTCTCTCTCACACACACACACACACACACACAAAATCTCTCTCTCTCTCTCTCTCTCTCTCTCTCTCTCACACACACACACACACACACACACACAACCTTGCACAAGAGTTAGTGCCAGACACAGTCCTTGCTACCACTTTCTGGAAAGGAAATAACACACATCTTTCAAGTGACTCTTCCTCACTGTTGAACTCTGGGCACTGATGAACACACAGTTTGGAATGCTGTGGGCCACCAGGTATTTTGGATATCAAATTCCAAATGGCGGTGCTGGTTAGTTACCACCCTGGATCAGGAAAATGTCCTCAGGATATCAGGCAACAATTTCCCCCAGGCCTGTTACCAATGATCCTTTAACTGAAGATGCCACTGAACCTATGCAAAGTATGGGCTATGTCAGCAATGGCAAACCTATGGCACATGGGCCACAGCTGGCACACAGAGCCCTTTCTGTGGGCACACGAGCCATAAGTCACCGGATCGCTACTCCCCCCACCCACACAGCCAAACCTCAGAAGTTGGCTTAAGCCGTGGTGCTGGCATTTCAACAGGCAGTGGGCCAGGATCCGGAGCAGCTGGCACTGGCAGAGGATCCAGAGTGGGGTCTCGAGGTACCTCCATGCCCAGGATTCCCCCTTCCACCACCAATTCCAGTTCTGTCAACGCCACTTCCGGTTCTGACACCACCATGGCATACCGCCCACTGGTGTTTTTTCCCCCCAGTTTGGGCACTTGGGCCTAAAAAGGTTCACTGCCACTGAGCTATGCTATGAAACTGTGACCCCTGCATTAGTACTGCAAAGAGCAGTCTGATGAGACCTGAAATGTAAGATCAGTAGTTCTGTGGGGGCCACAGAAACCAACAATAATAAATTAACAAATTCAAAAAGCAGACAAACCACAACTTTACTATGCTGTTGGGCCTTAGTCAAAAGAGATGCTAAGAAAGAGTTCACATAGGCCTGAAAACTGAAAATCAGCTTAATGATTTACACAGGAACACCAACTGCTGTCATTTTGTAGCAAAAAGCATTTCAGAGTCAACCATTCAAATAATAATAATACTCCCTACAGAGAAATCTGTATAAAGGTAATTAATCTCAGTCTCTTGATTAGCACCAAGTCACTGTGCTTATGTTTAAAAAGTTTTTTATAATTTCATTTTACTATTGACCCTGTGACATACTGCAGTAATGCAACCCCTTTCATTTCCACTACAATCATTTTTGATGTGTGTGGGTTCACAACTAATTTACAGCCCTAATGATTTAGCAAGTCTCCTCAAAGTGAAATTAAACAGATTTAGCCTTTTGATACAATGTATTTTCCCAACACTACTGAGTTCAAAAATATTTCACTGCTATATCTCACACAGCTACATCAAGAATGGAAAAGTAATCAAGTATGTAATTTCACATCAACAATGGACAATAACATTTATCCTAGGTGACCTGACAGACGTACATAAAAACAAGTACATTTAACATATTATATTTATTTTGCATACTTTTGGAACAATAAAAAGTATTATTTGCATTTGAAGATTCACAGAGAAAAGTAAACAAAATTACACAGAATAACCAACAAATATTGGTACTACAAATTCTTCATGTTATATGTCTTTATATATAACTGGAAACTTCAGATCTGGACGTATTCTCGAGCTGACAACTCCAGTGCATATATGGAAAGATATTTTACTTCACTTAGATAAATACCACCTCACAACATATTCCTCACAAAGGGCCACTGCACATAGGTACCTGACTTTAATCCACACTGTAACTTTAAAAAACCAAAACACTCTCAACATAATATCCAAAATCAAAGAATAAACTGTTTGATAGAAGTTGCAATTTTTATTGCTCCATATAAAAACTATAAAGTTATAAACAATATCATCTATTATCCCAAAAGAAGTATGTTGCTTTATTGTGCTTATGCTCCACCTCAAAAGACAGCAAGTAAGTTCCAAGTCTCTCATTGATGTTTAGATAGTGTGCAGGTGAGTAAAAGGATTTTTAATTTGGAAGGATATGAATGGAGTTCATTACACTGGACATCATTCTCCAAACAAAAGAACTTTACATAAAAGCTAAGAGTATAGGCAGCCCAGTGTACAAGAAGGGGTGGGGGCTCATCCTGAAACACTGGGGTGAACTCACCTGGAAAGGGCTTTCTCATTCCATAGTATATGTAACATCTCTCATTTTGAGCAGGTATGTATCCACAGATGCCTCCACGAAACTCCTATTATGAACAGCTGCCTATACAGCTAGAAGAGTCTGTTGTTTACAGGGTTAGCTTTCTGCCTTCAAAAACATGTCTTCGGTACAAAAAAATGACAAAGAAGGCTAACTTCCTATCGTTTTATACCTGCAGGGACTGATTCAGTGGAAAGAGACTTTGTTAGCTCTTTTTGCATCGAAAAAGAATCAACAAAGACACATCTAGTGATACTAAAAAAAAATTCAAAATCTAGTAAAACCTCAGCATCTGGGCTTTTATAGGATTCTTAATTTTAACTGATCAATTACTTCTGAATGTGTATATACTTGTTTTACCATTCAATAAAGACTGTATAAAGTAAGGTGGACAGTTTTATTTAAAGGGACTTATTTGCTATTATAAAATCTTAAGCTACCACACAGCAAAAGAAGAAACGCCATCTTTAACCACTGCATCTGTGCAAGTCTGCATGGCAAGTAGGCCATTCATTCAGTCCTAAGGCCCAACATCTCTGCTTACTGTTCACCCCAGCAATCCATTCAGGAAGGAGGAGATGAATTTGGTGCCCTATCAAAGCTGTCATTGTTTAGGCACCCTGACTGATCGATCACAGCTTGCAGGCCTGAAGGGTCTGGACACCGATGAGAGGGGAAAAAAACTCATTTCAGCCAACACTGCCTTCCCACCCAGCCATGTGTGAGGCCGGATTTTTTTTCTTTTTTTTTGGCCACAAGATAACTCTGTTACTTCAGAGAACCCCTAAGGCGAGTTGGGGGGGGGGAGAGAGAGAGAGAGAAATGTCACCTTCAGTCCTCAATGAAAGGAAGGGTGGAGGGAGACACACACACACACACACACAGAGCCCCTGCACCTGCCTGGGCCTCAGCACCTGCGTCGCTTTGTCCTGGTTACTTGGGATACAGCCAGGCTGGGCGTAGAGGACAAGGAGCGAACGAGCCCCGCCACCCTCGTCCCCCTCCTGGACGCAGAAGGCACACGGGGAGAGGAGGGGGAGGAAGGCAGGGGGGGAAGGGGGGCCTTTGCGACGCGGGTTTTT